GTCTTCGACCTTAGAACTTGCCAACGAGTCTACTTCCCTTCCAATTCCACTCACAGTCCATGCGGAATCGAGACCTCATCCATACCGTCTAAGGTTCACCATCGAAGGTAAGACCTTCATACTCACTCCATCAATTTACAACAAGAAGATCTGCATCACTGAAATTCATGGGAGGAAACGTTACAATATATGGCTTGGTTTGGACACTTGCACCTGGTTACTGGAGAACCTCTACTCACTGAACTCGAAGGGGAAGCTATGTTCAACCAGTCAAAGAGAAAGGAACAGACGGTTACAGTTACACTTTCAATCTTCAAGTTTCAGGAACCACATCAAATTGTGTGAATTTCATCAGGATGGGAAAATCTGGGTTTTCATCCCTGAAGGCTCTCAAGGGTATGGCTTTGCATCCTTCACCTCTTATTTTAAGAAAACTTTTGATTTTCTTCAAACATTGGTTCCCCCTCCCCCTCCTTTTTTTGGATATGGCTGTGGTGTGTGCCTCGATTTCTAAACCAGCATACCAACCACCTCTTTCCATCTCTGCAACTCTTCTCTCTTGTGAATTACCCGGTATTGATTCCCATAAGCCTTTAGAGAGTACAACCTTTCAATCTTCATGCTTGTTATCAGCGATGAATCTTTCCCTCCCCCAATCTTGCCCCAACCTCGTGCGAACTCACTCTCAGCTTCTGCTCAAGAATTCACCCCTAGAAATCCTAATCCTACCACACTAGACAACCCCCCTCACTTCTTAGGATGCTCTAATTTAGACAATGACCTGGATTCTTCACAATGGGGGTTATAATGTGTGTTATAACTCCGGGCCTGAGATCAAACTTTCTGGCACCAGGCCTGAGATCAAACTTTCGGGAAAAGCTTTTAAACCTCCTTCATCCGAAGAGGAAAGGGAGACAGATAAAGGTTCTGAAGACGAAGATTGGCATGCTAAAAAAGAGGCAAACTTAAAGAGAAATAATAAAAAATTCAACCAAATTTGCTTGCAAATCTAGGATTCTTCACTCCCAAGAAGAAGGAGTAAACGCATCTCCGATTTGAAAGCTCGAAATAAAGACGTGTATTAAGTTGGTTTGAGTAGATTGTTACAATTACTATGATTCTCTCTTTTTTACTCAATTGATTATCAGCACATTTTGGAGTTACTTGGTTTGTTTGCCGGATTGCTTCTTTTGAAATTACTTCAAAGATTGGTGAAACCAGAATGCATTTGTTAAGGCCATTTTAGGATTCATGTTTTTCGCTCTCGCCACTAAAATTCAGAACACTTGGTTTCTCTTGTATTTTGCAAGTATCGATAAACTCTACTCCAAATGGAAGAAGACAATTACAAGTTGGGTCGGGAAGCACCCACTTTCTAGTACTTGGTTTTATGTATTTGCCTTTTGGAGTTTTGGTGTTTGTTTCTTTTTCCTTCGTATGTCCTTTTGTATTTGATACCTTGGCCAACTTGTTGGGGTATGGGCCACCCCCTCCTTTTGTATTTTGATTTTTAATAAAATAATCCTTTAATATATATATATATATATATATACACACACATATATATATATATACATATATATATACACACACACACACACAGATATATATATATATATATATATATATATATATATATATATTATATATATATATATCCCCACCCAAGATTATTCTTGTATACAGTTACTTTCTTGATTCTTACTTAATCCTCGGATCCTAATCTAGTTAGCACACCGACTCTAGTTTTGAAATTTTATCCTTCACATTAATAATAAAATGTGAGGAAAACTGCCATCTTAGCGCCTTCCCGTATAATCCCTCTAAACTAAAATGACTTTAGCGTAGATGTTGGGGAATCCCGCCTAATAAGCTGCAGGCTCAGAATAGAACTCTTCACTTCTCAAACATCGCTCGCTGTTTACGCTGCTTTTCCTGCGGTCGTGGTGCAGAGAGTTTACATTATCAAGGTTATTTTGAATCAATTCAGTCGGGCTTGTGCGGTTTTCGTACCGGTGAAATTGTATTGCAGAAATGGAGGGGGAAGGAATACCTGGTATGTGCCTTTTTTTTTGTTTGGGCGAACTGGGTTGTGCGTGGTGGGTTTATTGTTTTGCATGTGTTTGAGGATGCATTTGTTACACATGATACTGGTTGATTGTTGGGATAATGGTGTCTTACTGGTGAAGTTGGCTGCGGGTGAGGGTATGGGGTTTTGGATTTTAAATTTTGTTCAAGTGTTTGTGTTCTATAAGTGTAGATTTTCATTAAGTGGTTGTTGCGGAGAGCACAAAATTGTGTTTTTATTGTTTGGGTTGAATTCCGTGAATTTCTTTCAGTAGTTGTGAACATGTATATGTGCGATTCATGTATTGCATGTGGATATTTGGTGTTTTTTATGTTGTTATGCTATTTTGGTGATTGAGGCATGTGTACTGTGGTGTTATGCTTTACATTTTAAGTTGTGTGCGAAGTGTTCCACACAAGTTTCCTGAAAATAGGCTTTGGTGCTTTTTTTTATATGATTGAGTGTTTGTTTCTGGCTAAGATGCCCTTTTCATATATGCACTAATTTATTGTGAAGGTGCAACGTGTCTGACATCTTTAAAGAGGATTATATTGTTGTGATGCAATAGACATCCTTCTGTGTTTTATATGAGCATTGTATTGTTGAATTGTTGTTGTAGAACTATATTAATCCATATCCTGTTTCGTAAAGTATACTGCTTTTAGGATATGGAGTCGATGCCTATGGTGATTGTGTGGAAGTTGTGGTGTTTCTTACATTTTTGTTTGTGTGTATTTGTGAAGTTATATTGCATTGAGTGGTTAAAGCAGTGTCCTGATGCCCATGTATGCCATGGTTTGGCTTATTTTGTAGTGTTCGTTTTGCTATTTTATGGGTTTTACACTGGTGAAGAGTTATTGTTTAGTTTTCATTTTGTTACTAATAGTTATATACTTTGTTTGCATTTTATATATTTATGAGATTCAATTGGGATGAAGAAAAGGCATGAATAGGTCTGAGCAATTGTGATAGTGTGTGTGAGGAAAATGTTATAGATGCAGTCAGGGGTTGTGGGTGCGGGCTGATGCATATACTGTATTAGTTGGTGTTTCTTTAGGTTTGTACAATGCATGGTTCAATATTAGCACTGATGGAGACTTACTGTGCAAGTAGCTTTGTTAATAATATGGTACTCTATCAGTCTGTGGGTTATTAATCTGCTTTGTGATTGGTATTATGTTTAGGTTTATTGAAATGTTGTGTAATTAAATTTTGTGCATTTCATACTAATACATAAGTGTTTGGTTATGTAAAGTGTAAAATGGTTTTGATATTCTAGTTTGCTGTTGTTCGATGTGGAATGGTTGTTTGGGTGGCCACACAAACACCACATTGGCATTTCTATGTTTTGTGTTGTGATTTGGCATTGTATCCTTGTTTATGAGTTTTTGTTTTTGGTTTGTTTTGTTGGGGCTGCAGATCTTGCCTTGAAAAGAAGTTCCAAGCGCAGCAAGAAATCTTTTGTAATGGCTTCACCGATTCGAAGAAGCGGTAGATTGCAGCTTGCAGAGATTATGAAAAGGCCAAAAGTACACGCTGTGCATGTCGACCTGGGCAATGATGACAAGGATTCTGTGGAAGATGGAGGTGCAAATGGGAATGATAATGCTATTTCAGATGTGTCTGGAGATGATGCAGTGTTTGGGGGAGATGAAGGCGGGAATGTTGAAGAGGAGACTGACAGTGATGATGCATTTGATGACCCACCTCAGAAGACAACAACTGACCCTTCGCCTAGTGCTTCGAGGAAGAATGCTGCAACAGTAAAGAAACGAAAGAGGGAGGGGATAACCAAATTGAAGGAGAAGTACCTACGAATTCAGTCAAGAGCTTCTCCAAACGTTTTGCAAAAAGTGGTTGAAGCTCTGAACGAAGATCAGAGGAGGGAAGTTGTGAGAATTGGGTTTGGGTCTATGTTAAAGATCAAGATAACAGAGCTTCCAGCGAAGCTAGGATTTTGGGTGGTAGAGAAATTTAATCCTAGGAGTAGCAGTATTGTACTTGCAGATGGAACGAAGGTGCGTGTTACGGTGGATGATATTAGACATGTTTTGGGTTTGCCGTGTGGGCGTGCTAAGGTAGTCAGCAAAAAAAAGGTGAGAAGTGTGATATACTGGATTAGTTGAGGGTAGAGATTGGAAGTAGATACAACAAGATCACCCCTTTAGAGCTTAGTGAAAAGGTTCTGCAATATACTGATGGTGGTGTGTGGTTTGTTCGTCTTTTCGTGTTGTTAGTCGTGTCAGTTTTGATCGATAGCTCGAGCCATGGGTACGTAAACAATTGGGTGTTGAAAAGCTTGGAGGATGTGGATGGGATTGTGCATTTAAATTGGTGTGAATATGTGCACCGATCATTGATTGACAGTAGAGTGAAGTGGGAGAATGGGAAAAGAAAATACTATACGGGACCTTTATTGTGCTTGTTGGTAAGAGTTATGTTTTCTGACAACTTTAATTTACTTCATTATAATGTAGTTGTATTTTTAATGTAGTTTTTCTTATCTATTTTTTAAGGTGTTCTACGTGGACCGAGTGGTGCTCTATAGAAGGGACGTTGAGAGAATGTCGCCTGCATTTCTAGGATGGACATCGAAGATCCTAAGGGATAGGGAAAACAATGAGGTCAAAGCAGGTGGATTCGGGTTGGGATATGATGATGGAAGATTTGTTGGTGAGGTGGTGGATGCGAGCTCTGGTGGCACAGATGTCGGGGCAGGTTTAGAACAGGATAATGTGGAAAATGGAAATGGTGATGCACCAGAACCAATGGGAGAGACGAGGGATGATCCGGTTGAGGTAAGTGCGGGGGGATTACTTAGCAAACCATGTACTGATTATTTGTAACCTGGGGTTGTTGAAATTTAATATTTTTTATTTTATGACACCCTTATGCATCAGGTTTTTGTTCAAAAGTTTGCAGAAAAGGGGAGAATTTTGGCTACTACAATCATCGAACTAGTGTCGTTGATTGAGAGTGCACCACCTGGTACTATGGAGAATGATTTGTTCAAACAGCTGCAGCTTGCAGCGGGTAGATTATTGGGTCTGGCCCAACGTAGAGGTGGTGGAAGCTTAGAAACACCTCAGGGAGGATTTTCAGAGGTGACCTATGATGAAGGTTTCTGGAGCGACCCGGCAAACATAGATCAGTTGATAGCCAATGAACAGGCAGTGCTAGCACGTTCAAAATACAAGAAGATCATGGAGGTTATGCCATCATTCAGTCTGGGGTTCTCGCAATTGGATGGAGAGAATGAGTATGTGAATATTGATGGTGGTGATATGGGTGCTTGCAGAAATACACCTAGCACTCCTGCAGTTCGGGTTGTGAATGAGCCGGAGAGTAACCCAGGGTTGAAAATGATTTCATAACACCTGGAGAAGTGCAATGTCATGTGGGAGATGTAATTTTAATTATTTCCGTAGAGTGTTCCTTGGTGTTGTGAATCATGTTGTTTGGTGTACCATAACAATTAATATTGGTTATGTTTTTTTTTTGTTTGTTGTAGCAGGCAGTTGATATGGATTTGGCTGGTGGAAACAGGATTCAGGCGGACAGGATTGGTATGACAGCGGTAAGACCGTTTTTCGTAGTGGTGTTCGTGATCTGTGTGTTGCATTTTGTTACGTGGAGATAACACCAATGGTTGATATATGCGTAGGTTGCTGGTGTGAGTGCAGTGGGTGATGGTACTGTGCAAGGAACTGTTACAGAATGTTCAAAAGCAGTGGTAGGACTGATTTTTCCGGTTTTGCCAAAAATTAATTCATACATGGTAAGGGGTGGTGTGGTTGGATTTTGTTGATAACTTAATGAGAAATATTATTGTTATGTGTTAGGTGAAGCCATTGAATGCAGCAAGGAAGTAGGCTAGGACATTAAAACCTGCGGGCCCTTTGAGATCACCCTACCTTACACGACCGATAGATCTTTCCGATGGGTTATCTGTCATGGAGAGGAGGGTGACGAATTGGGTGTTGCAGAATCCAAATGCTCCAAAGTAAGGTTTTGTTTTGAAGTCTGCAATTTTGATTGAAAATTATTAAGTATGTATGGATTGAAGTTTGAATGTTAGATCTTTAATAATCACATATTGTGATGTTTAGGGATGAAGCTGTTTTCGTGAAGGATGGATTGGAGTTGACAAGAGGTGAAATTGCGTCGTTGGATATTGGGAAACATATTTCCAAGAGGGTGATAGATGTGTTGTCAACAATACTGAACCACAATGAGAAATTCAGAAGTGACAATTCCCCATTGCGTGTGTTTGCTAGGAGCATGGATTGTGTAAGTTGTTTTTTTCTTTGTGCGTACTTAAGTTTGAATGGGGATGTTCAATATGCTTAGTCTGACATGTTTTGAAATGAAAAGGTTGCGAATGGGGATATAGTAGATGTGTCTGAGGCGAATGTGAAGAACATGTTTGCAAATGCGCTGCTTCCTGCGTGGGATGACATGGCAGATGATTTCAACTGGGGGAAAGCTGAACTGGTAAGAATGTTTATAGTAGATGCAATGTGAAGATTGAAATTAGTTGGATCGTTCTGCGTGGTTTATCAGTAGTTCATTGTGTTTGAGAGAAATTGTTAATGTGTGATTTATTGGATTATGTGCAGTTTTTCTTTCCTATTATGCAACAGAACTGGGCATATGTGTTGTGTGTTGACCTAAAAAGCAGACGTTGTGACATCCTGGATAGCTCTTCAGCGAAAGCAAAAAACGAAGACAGATATGGCGACATGCCAAAGCGAGTTGTAAGAACTTTGGGTGCATGGTTTTTAGGATAAGGTATATTACTGTGGATGATTTATTAACATGAAATGTTTGAACCAGGTGAGGTTGTTGGGTGATTTTCTTGAGCAGCAGAGGTTTGTTTACAAAGGAAAATGTGTTAGAGAAATGCTTGCTAAGAGAATTACGTTCCCTTGGAGAGATCCGAAGGCTACCTTTGATTATGGTGTGGCGACCATGCGTCATATGGAGACATATATGGGGGATGGTGGAAAGGGATGGAACAGTGGCTTGTCGAAGATAAATCAGAAGCCTATGCTGTTGCTGCGCTGCAAGTACTGTGCATGTATACTTCTAAGCCCAGTTAATGCACTGTTGGACAAGGTTTACGCAGAGTCAGAGACACTTGAAAGGGAGAGGAAGGGAAAGGATCCTAAGTGAACCCACACCTAGAATGGCTGCATCTTATTTTTGTGTGTTTGTTGAATTATTTTTATTAGTTGTTGGTGAAAGTTGGTGACACCATACATTGATGGAAGTGCTATAAGGAAACTAATTATCAGCCCATAGTTTGGTTTATTATTATATTTTTTGTGTGGATTTGAGGAAATTGGTTTTTTGTAGAAGGTGTGAATGGTTATGGTTTTTTGAATGAAGATGTGGTGTTGCCGTATTTGGTGCGTTTGTGTTTTTTTAAGAATGTGTTTGTCATTACGTATTTTTGGAGAGTTGTAAGTGGTTGGCTTAAGTGAATATTAAAGAAGTTTGCTGTTTTGAGATGTGTGAACATAGCGCTTGATGAAGTGATTGAATTTTTATTTGTTTGAAACAGAGGTTTCGGCATTGTGATATGAACGTAGAGAATATCAGTACCAATATATGATGTTATAATTGCAGATAACCATTTTATTTAGTTTTCTTCAAGAATCGTTCCTCCAAAAGTTTTTTTAGTAATACATCCGTTTGATTTGCTTGTGCATTTCTGGGTCCTACTGCCGCATATATTGTCCGTGACATTGCATGATGTACATTATATGCGTTACCATTTATAAACGTTCTAGGTACGGGGTTGAGGACGTTTAGTAAACAGAACCTCACTATCTATGGTTTTAAAACCTCAATCTAAAACAAACCCATACATGAAATAAATTAAAATATGCTTCATATTCACATCAATTTATCAATATACTGGTATGAAATCTATTTCATATGTGGAATGCACAACTCTTGTATGAATATTCATTTGAACAGTGGTCACCATTTTGGACACAGCTGATTTATGCAGTATAAAATAAATGAAATGCTACATGGATAGAAGAAGGTGATACATTTAGTAAATGAGCATGTTGTAAAGGGAGGTGTGGGGTACTAACTGTGCGAATGGGGAATTGGTGTTGAAAATGAGTCATTCAACCATTGGAATTAAATTTATCTATTCAGAAATACAAGAAGTGGTAAAAAAGCAGAGACATATCCATGGAATAACTATAACAGATCAGTTAATAAACAATAAAAGTGGAACAGGAAAACAGGCTTATCACTTCTCATGGTTCATAGGACAGTTCCTGCTGTCGTGGAAGCCATATTCTTTGCATGTCCGACACAAGCGTTTGGTTTTCTTTGATTCTTCAATGCTAACTTCCTTACCTCCTTTGATACGCTTACCGCTGCCCTTCGTACTTACTTGGGCAGGAGGTAATACACGAACTTCTGAAGGTGCAGAAGTGCCACAAAAGTTTTCAAACACTGAGGATGTGTCAGATGACAGTTTGCCATCCTGAAGTTTGTCGATTAGGGCCTCCTTGTGCTGATTTATAGTGTTGGAAAAGGCAAGTAGCAAATCAGGGGTGTGTTCCACCAAGGCAATACAAAAGTGGATGTCTGACATCAATCGAGAAACGAGAGTCTTATTTTGATCCGTAAATGATACCTTGTCCATTTCTGAGCCACCGACATCGAACATTGGTTTGAGCAAATGGAATTTGCACCACCGGTTGGTAACATACAAGTCGGGGATCTTTTCTATTTTCAGGTTTTTGAAAACAACGAAGATGTGCCTGCATAGCAAGCCAATGCGCTCGTAGTTTTTGCAACTGCAATGTGTGGTCCCATCGCGTGCACAGTAGCGGACAGTTGATATCATCCCACTTACATCGCTGATCTGATACTCAGAAGCATCCTCACTGTTTTGGATACATACAATAGCGCATGAAAAGCAGGATGCACAAATCTCTTTTTGCACATCATAAAAGACTGAGAGAGTGAATAACGATGCAGCGTGTTTCTCAATCTTTAATGGGGTTTTGAACACTGGAATTCCCGACTCGGATTCTGAGTTCAAACGAGTAAATTTGAACCGTTGGTCCTCCATTGCACTCTGGAATTGCATTAATAATTCAACTAGGCTAAAGTTGCGGTTGGTGAAATCGTCAAAGAAACTGTTTTCACTCTCTGATCTAGACGTAGTGCGCAAAAGCCCGGCCATAAATAGA